TAATTATAATAGTATATAATGTATAATAATAGTATATAATATATAATAATAAAGTCAGTGCAGTCAGAAGCATCAACATGCAAGACAAATATCTTTAAACCATATCCATGTACATTTTTGCTGAAGAGTCTCCCAGTGTAAAACAACTTTTAAGATCCCTTCCTGTTTCTTTTTCAGAAACTGCTGTCATGCATTCCCAACATTTTTATTTCCTATGATCCTAGGTAATTTTTACAAAGTTAGTAATCACAGAATCATAGAATGGTTTGGGTTGGAAAGGACCTTAAGATCATCTAGTCCCAACCCCCTGCCATGGGCAGAGATGCCTCACGTGTTGCCCAAGGCTCTGACCAACCCACAAGGATGTTTAAATATACATACACGTGACATTTATTACTCCAAAATCACACCACATCCTTTTATCTGAAAGCCTAAAAAAGCATGCTTGGTAGTACCAAACAATTCAACATTCTGCTCACAGGCACATACTTAGATACCAAGGTGGCAAACTCTGTGACACAAGTCAGGGCTGAAAACCCTGTGACAAGCATTTCACATGCTTTTAGATTGTTTGAGTCTCTTTTTACAAGAAGAAATACCAGCTTATTAGAAGTGATGCAAAAAATGGAACTGAACACACCTGCCAATGCTGAGTCACAGCATTCCACACTCCCACCTTCCCTGTATGGCTTGTAGCCACCAACTGGTTGCCAATGAAGAAGAGAGCATCTACAGGGACTCCAAGACTGAACACTCCTACAAAACAAATGAAGAGTCTGTGAAGCATATCTAAAATAAAGAGAAAAAACAGTAACAATGGAATCTCTTCACTATTATCATGTCATTTTCATTGCAGTAGCAAAAAAAGAAGTCAAAACTGGGTTTGCAGTGTGCTAGGGGAGGCACCATTCAAGCAGCAAACTGGGTTCCATTAAACTGAATAGCAGCATGATCTCACCTCTTCTGATGCAATCGTTGCTTGGGAAGGAGAAAGGAAGAAAGAGAAGTAGGAAGAGTCCATGCAAAATATGCATTACTTATTTTCCTACAGCCATCAAGTCCTCAAAGGGCTTTAGACAGTCTGAGACATTAAAATATAAATAAAACCCCAAAATTCTATTACAGTAAGCAGGATTTTTTTGTTGTTGTTTTCATAGAATCTGTGACTATGAAGAGTCATTTAAGAAGCAGTAATTTCATGGGTTTCACTAGAAATATTTGTGCTGGATTAGTCTGCAGTTATCTTTTAAAGTATTACAAGTTCTCTCTTTTGAAGTCCAATCAAAGAGATGCAGTCTGAAAACAAATTTTAGAAACTAAGTACAGCTACAAGGCTTAATCCTTATTTCCCAACGTTGTTTCGGACAAATCCAAATGAACAGAGTGCCATTCCCAACCAAGAACAGCCCTCTGTTACACCCTGAGAAGGAATCTCAGGAAACTCAACATATACTTAGCTTTAATTAGGATGCTAAACTGTTTTCCAGAGCACAGTACAATCATTCAGTGCAGGTAAGATTCAGCCATACAGGTCATGTGAGAAAGGCAATAAGACAAAATCCACAGAAACAACTAGAATTGATTACTCCAGAGAAGGATGAGGTTCAAGGAAATCAAGGAAGACAGCTTGAATGGTCTGGAGGAATTTGAAGTGTCAGTCCTGCTTAGGCTCAACAATCTGAGACCCATTCCCAGGGGAGACAATGCTATATGTAATGACAGGCTCTTGTCTTAAGGGTCCCTCTCAGTAAAATACTGCTTACAGCAGCACTCCAGCAGCAGTGTCTTATGTAAGTAATATTGAAAGGCAAGAGAGCGCCGTGGGAGAGCTCTATCACAAAGCTGCCAGCCCACACAATTTTCTGAGGATGGCATCACCAGGCTCCAGCAACTGTTTGGAACAAGTAGTTTCTTTGGCATGATGTACTGTATCTCTAACACCAAGCAGGACTGCAAGCATCTGTCTCTACAAGGAAACAAGACAGCTCTATTCAAGTTATTACTATTAAGCACAAGCACATTTCAGGGGTTTTTAAGCCAAGCAGCATGACCTGTTATCCAAAAGAGGCACATTTTGATCAGTGTTAGTCAGACTAAAGATTCAATCCTGGAGGCACTTTCTCTCTGCTCCCCTCTGCCCCAAGTGGGATTTCCTTTTGTTTCAGGAAATCACTTCTATGCAGGACAGCCTGTTTAGCAAAAGTGCTTCCTCCAGTTTTGTTGCCATGTTGAGTTGTAGTCGGAGTTATCAGAAACTTATGATACTGGCAGATTTTAGTTTTCATTAGAAGTCCACTTATGGTTTTTGTGTCTCTTTGCACTTCATTTCCAAAAATCTGAGATGTTGCTTCCCGTATCTTACTGCAAATGCCAAGCTAAGATAAGCAGCTAATGAAACCAGAAAATACAGGAGAAATGTAATAGCATAGTGCTTAAAGCAATGCCTATTACAGGAGTACAGTTGTCACTAACTCTTCCCTGCCTTTAAGATTTGGACAATGGGAGCATAAAAGGAGAAAAGGTTTCTTAAGTGCAATATTTACGCCCTGTTTAGTAGAAATATTTCATGTGCAACTGTTAGACACACCTTTCATAGTGTTGTTTTTAAGGACAATGGAACCTCCTTTTCTGTTGAGCTGACCATGCTTATATATAAGGAACTCTGCAAGTCACAAATAATCAGCTGCATTATCTGATGTAAGACCCTTGCCTTTCCAATCTTCAAATCTGACCTGGTGTTTCCACTCATTCAAGTGTGGGGGAAAAAAAAGCAACAGCCTTTAACATAGCTAGAAATTACATCATTCAGGTAAGTTCTTCCTTTACAAGCCCATGGATCAAAACTTGCATCTCGTCTTTTTGACTTTAATTAACGACTGCATTAATTCTCATGGAGTTACATATGGAGATACATCTAATAACAAATCAACTCAGCATTAAATTTCAAAGAAAAGTGTCCACAGAAGGAGACTGCTGTCATACTTGGTTAGCGGTATCTACTGCCCAAGGGAAAACATCACTGGCATACAGCGGTTATTCAAACACCAAGAATTAGGCTAGAGGGAGGTCCTAATACTGTTCCCTTCACTACCTCTGAAATTTGCCCTCTATTTGAACAACAGAGTCAGACAAGCCATCAGATCATCACCAAGGAATATTTACTTCTGAAATACCTTCCTGCTATTTCTTAAGCCTCCCTAATTGAGTGTCCTTTAGCGCCAAGGTGTACAAGCAGTCATTCCTGTATGCTTAGGGCAGTAGAGAGTGCTTTTTCTATATAGTTATGAAAAGATATTTTCATCTTCCAAATTCCATTTATGAATTACGTTGGACAGAGAACTGAAATCTTTCCATCATCTCCATGTAAAAACATGGCTTTAATATGACTAAGGAAAGAAAAGAGCAGAATTTCTCAATATCTGTAACTTTCCCTATCAGAAACTTAAGTTCCTTTGCTCTATGGCCTAGATTCAAATGCAAGTCCTGGGAAAAGTTTAACTCTTAATTTGCATGCTTACACAAAAACCTCAAACTGAACAGTGTTAGTACCTGTTCAGTAAACAGACTGCTTTTTTATTGTCCATCTGTTTAAGAAAGGAGGATTCCTCTAGCATGACAGAGAAGAAAGTTAATATGCTGTCATAGGTTGCTGTGCTATAAGCATGCTTTGTCACTTTGTGAAAGCGTATACAGGACGCTATAGATCACACATACCTCAAAATAAGGTCACAGACTTCTTCCTGGTTAAACACACACACAAAAATAAAAAGGCCAGGCAATTATAGTTACCAATTTCACTGCCACTACCACCATCTTGAATGCTCCACAAGATTATGCTACTCTCTGAGGCAACTGCAACCATCTTATCCTTGTCTCCATGAGGTCCTCCAACCACCTTAGCGTTGAGAGCCACTCGCTCAATTGTCCAGTCCAGATAGGGGCTTGTGAACACTTGCTGCCACCCAGATGACTCTTTGATTCTGGAAGGGCAAAGGAGGCAGCAGAGGTAAGAGATTCAGAAACAGACAACTCAGTCTAAACCTGAACCAATGTGGCTGATCCAGTCTTAGAGCTAAGCCACAAAACTTCCAATTCCAGTTAAGCATTACAGTCTACAAAAGCTGCTGGGATTTTTCCCCTCCTTGAAGTCTGATACTGCACATTATTTCAGTGCTTTGCAGCTACTGAACCCCTGTACTGGGCTTTTTCTTCATATTAGCACATCTGATATAAAGACCAAGCCAAAAGCTTGGGCTAAACAAATGCTAGAGGTTCAGCGTAAGACTTTTGAAGAAATCTCTTTTGAAGAAATCTCTATTAAGATACCTTTCCTCTGGAAATTATGCATCACATAAGACACCCAATCATGCTCTAGCATAAAGCTGTGCTAAGTTGCATTTTCTGTTTATGGCATACTGTAAACAGATAAGACTGAATTGACTATAAGCTTTATTTTTAGAGAATCATTTGCCTGTGCATTTTAAAGACTTACCTAATACCAGAAAAACCACAATTTATCTGCTTTAATTTCAGGCAATAATTTAGATACTTTGCAACTCAGCTAAAGCACACTAAATCTCAGCAGTCAAATTATATAAATGTGAACATGCGAAGCAGAAACACTATCTGGTATTTTTTTTGCCATTCTTTCACTTCAGCACTGCATCCTGCCTGGAGCTGAAGCACCACAGAGTGAGATTCACATGAGTGAATCTTTCACTTAAAGGAAAACAGGTAGAGATAAAAATCCTAAGGAGGGGACAATGATGGCAAATCATTGCCTCCTTCTCCAGTCAGACTATATTACACATAATTGAAACCAAGAATATTGAATAGAGCAAGAGAGGCCACATCTTCTAGTACAAATTAAAGCAAACAAAACTGCAGCGGTGAACACGGTGGACAAGTTAGATGTGAGTTAAGTTACCAAGTTTAAGCAAATAAATTAGTATTGTATATAGTGAAAAAGGCAGAAAACTATAGCTTCAGCTTGGCAGTAACTAGAAAGAAGCTACTCACATCACACTATTCTCCCTTCTGTTTCTGAGCCACACAACAGCAGTGTTAGATTGGTTTTTAGCAATAGCTCTTGTTAAACATTACTTTCCATTGAAAAGACAGCCATCAATTAAATCAAGCCTACCAGATGTGAACTAAAAATAGCTTCTGGAATATGAAGGTGGTTACTTATCTTCAGCTGATGTTAATAAATAGCCAGTTTGTTTACAAGACACTTAGACACTTCCCAGCCACCCAGGTGAAGTAGCAAGTGCTTAACAGTTCTGCTAAGATGAAGTTTAATACAAGGTACATCACTTATGGAGCAAAAATCCATTCACTGTTTCAAGTGCTTTAAAATGGGTTTTGGAGTCCATTACTTTGCAACAGCATCAAAATCAACAGGAGAGCAGCAAAATATGAATTCCTATCAAGCGATTTATTTGCACCAATAAAAGCAGCAACTCTGATTTATAGAGCCAAACTGAATGCAAGTGATCTACTGTTATTTCACACTAAAGCCATCTTTTTGCTTTGCTTATAGAAATTATTTTGAGTTTGTTTGTTTGGAGTTTTTTGTTTCAGATTCCTAGAACCTGACAAACAACTATATTCATACCTGTAGCAAACAGCAAAATGGGCATAGGCAGCTACTATCCAGTTGTGGTGGCCAGCTACTATTAGGACTTTCCGTGGGTCCACAGGAAATCCTAAAAACAACAACAAACTGAAGTGAGTCAGGTGATGGGTACTGGAAGATGCCTCTGCTCATCTGTAACAAGATAGAGCTCTCTGCTCAACAGGCAACAGAAACTTGGTTAATGAACTTTCTGAAGAAAGATTTTCAGCTAGACTCTAGTTAGCAATATTACTCCTCACAATTTTTACAACTCTTACAGTTCTTCACCAGAAGTTCTTAATTATTTCATCTCAGCCACTACAATACAAAATGTCCATAACTGTGAAAAGTCAAATACATGCCTTAGTTTTAAAGCCTACCAAATTGGTAAAAATTGGTAAAAATAAGAAACAATGCTCTATTTTGTAAACGTTCTTTCCAACTACTTGGTGCAACCCTGCATTCTTGTTATAGACTGTTGAACTGAGATTTCCAGCATCTCAGAATACCTACAGCTCCTCCATTTATTACACAGTGGGAGCATGCCTGTTTCCAAGCTATAACTAAATCAGGTGTGGCAGAAGTATTGGACAGCCCTGGAAATCAGTGATTATGGTACTTCCCCACGTTAGCTCTCAACCTTGGTACGCTAAAGAACTAATACCTAAAGACTTCGTCTTCTCTCTCATTTTCCCCATGACTGCCCGTTTTTCCCCAAACCTGCAGCAACTCACAAAGAAGGATCAGCAATTCATACCCAAGGCTTATTTTTCTATTACCTGGATGGAGATTCACCTTTTAACATACTCTAGATTTTCCCAACACTGCTACAATTTACAATTATTATATTATATTCACACTTTACAGCAGAGGTATGACAATGCTAGCAGCATCTTTTTGCCTGCAAAGTCAAAAGCTGGAAAATGACAGAATTCAACCCTATCTTATTTGTAGTTTTATATATTTTATATGGAATATACTCTGTATCGTCAAACAACTGAAGACCACCTTTACACTAAAAACTCAACTCTTGCAGGGCAAGAGGGAGGCACCAGGAGCAAGAAAGAAAAGCAAAAGTAGGAAGGAGGTCCTGAACAAAGACCAAGGAGACATTGGTCCATCTATTTTTTATCATGGCTTTAGTACAGTGAAAGTTATTTGTCTAAGGAGCCTGCATGAAGAACTCTGATTTGCCTTTCTCTCAGCCTCATACCTTGATTGTATAGCAGTGAGCCTTAAATACTGTATAGGGAGTAGTGTTTAAGTAAGTATTCAGCAATTCAGATTAAGGCAAACACTGAATAACAGACTGAAACCACAAATAGTCACTCAGCTTTTATTACCCAGTGACAATCACCTTTGCAATTTGTTTTGGGTTTAGAACTGACATTCCTCACCTAGCCTGACTGTACCTTCCCCAGTACCAGCAAGTGTAGGTTGGACACCACCACCTCCATGAATCTCACTCTCGGAGCAGTTTTGACCAGTTCTAACATCAGATGGTGGCCCGGCAGTATTATTTATTTTACGATTGGGAATGCCTATAAAAGAAAAGAGATGTTTTGTTCCACTCCATAAACTTTAGCAATATAACAGATATTCATTCACTTTCCAAAATACAGGATTAATAATCATGCACTTTGATCTAAAGTCTATTTCAAGTACCCCTATTGTTAAGGAAAGCTCATTTGTGGCGATTTGTCACCTAGACTTAGGGTACCTGAAGTAACTGTACCTTCAGAAAGAAGAAAGCACTCCATGCCGATAACATACTTGAAGAATCTCTACACTAGTCTACTATCAAACAAAACCTGCTTCCTATTAACATGCTACAACCTCCTGCCCAATACTCTAAATATGCCATTACATACAGCATACATATAAAAGCCTTGGGTTTGAATCAGAACAATGTTTGATTCAACCATTCATCTTAATCTTCCCATGGGAGAGCCTTCTCTTGATAGTTCGACAGGTGGAGTAACTACCTCAGCCAATTGCTCCCATAAACTAAAGCAGTAAGTGACCACAAGCAACATCAGACCGTTAATGCAAAAATACCTGGAGGAGGCAGGTAGCCATGAAAAAGGACACTGCCACAAGATGAGCGTTCCAGTTCTTCACATAATAGCAATCTTCTCACTAAGGAGAAAAACAAGATATGACCACAATTTTGACTTCCTAGGAAACATTATTTCAAATAACCTTCTCTATCAGTAAGTTTGAAAATCTTCACGACTGCCCAGAACTTGCAAGAGGGTCATTTCTACAAGAATAAAAATGAGATGACCTGGTATTAAAAAGTAAGTTACCTAAAGGAGTGATTCCATAGAATTCAGCTTCATGCCTGAGAACATTAATACTTACTCCCCTAGAAAAAACAAAACAACACGAGGACAAGGTGAGTAATACCTAGAATATAAATACTAGCACATTAACTAGATATTACACAATGTGAACATGAAGCTACCCAGCCGTTTAAAGAATTGCCACCAAATGCATTCAACATGTTGATGTGTGAGATTTCAAAGTGATCTCAGCATTAATTACCTTTCGTTAAAGTAAGGATACAGAAACAATAAATACATTGCTGCAAGTGGCTTCAATTACAAGAATGCACTAACAAAATGTAACACTACCATTTCTGCCTCCACCATGCCAGATATATAGATAGATAGATAGATAGATATAGATATAGATATATACACATACTCTAGACATAGTCCCAGACCTATCAGGGAGCAGAGTCATATACTGGGCACCCACCTAGATAAGTAAAACTGAACAAGCCTCATTTGAAAAGGTTTTCTACTAATGCATCTGATCAAATTAACCTTCACTTGACATAAGGAGAACTTCTTACCTTAAGTCTAACTCCTTTGTGCGAAGAAAATTTAAAATGGGTGCAAATGCTGCTGGATCACGATCAATAAATATCTGCAAGGAAAAATCGCTGTACTTTATGGAGCAACCACCAAGTAAAATGCTTTTTTATGCTGAGCATGGGAAAGAGGAATTGAAGATGAGGTAGACAAACATAACCCAAAGCTTTTGGGCCTCTCCTTTCCTCTCATTATTCTCCTACCGTACACCAGCTCAACATTCTTAGAAGACATCTATACAAACACTGTTGCAAAGAGACGGCACTTAACAAGCATGTTCTTTAAGTTCTAGAGTCTCCACAAAGGTCAAGAGGTACCCTCATTGAAACAGCCGTTTTTCTGTATCTATCTGCCAACTAAAGCTGCATTTCCATGTCAGGATTACTCAACTACATATGCAATAGCTATCTAATGATAGCTTCTCTCTGCAATACAGCAGTAAGTAGTTTTTCTGTTTAAATAAAGTACAGTTGCTGTCTCTGCATTGTCTACAATGCAGAATGAGCACAAAAATACACACATTGTTCCAGTTTCATTTATCTTGGAACGAAGAGGAGAACCAGGAAAAAAATTAGAGATGTCATTAATTTTCATGAATGTTTAGACTGACTCAGGCAGTGTAATTCCCCTTAGAACCCACAGTGAATATTATTTAGGAGAGAACCTAACTTAAAGCATAATGTTAAATGACTGAGTTATCAGGTTTACTACTCACAGCACCAGTTTCATCCTTCAGTGTTGAAATTCTTCCACTCAGCAAACTGAAAGACAGGAAAGCTTCATTAGATGTCCCTTGGAAATGTACTTACAGAAATACAGGTTAGCGACCCTCTTAGTCCCTTTGCTCTCTTTGTCTAATGGCACTTGCATTTTGGTAAAACAGTAAAAGCTAGTGAAGTAAAAAGCAAGAGCAAACAATCAATTCTGCAGGGACTTGCTGAGCCAGAATGGAGTGGATGAGTTTTTACACAATTTTTCTTCAAAGTTTCTCTCCCATGAGCTCAAAGCACTTTTGCTCCAGCTCCATAGAAAACACAACACCAAAACCTTGTTTTACAGATAAGAAGCAAACTAAGTAATGTCAATAGTTTTATTTTAAGATTCCATCCAAGTCTGGACAATTACCTCTGAGATTTGCCAGTCCCGGATAACTTTCAGAACAAACTCCTTAGTATACTTTGAGTTGAGAGACTGCGGAATAGCATGGGAGCAAGGCACCTCCTTGTGCCTTTCCTTCCATGCTTTGAAGAAGGTGATGCTTCCCTGGCACTCCATTTATCCTAACATTTCAGTAAAACAGGAGCAGGTAATGCTGCCTGTCTCTGTCAGTGACCGGCTTTTGTCGGGCAGGAAGTCTAGAGCACAAAAATTACATGTAAGGAAGTGAAACTGACAGCCTTTTACATGTCAGGATTTCTTTGACGTGTTTAGGATTAACTGGGGTGACAGAGGTCCAGCAACTACAGCACAAAATTACTGGGGTACAACCAGTAATCAGCACAACCTACATGAGTAGCAATGGTACATAAAAGTTAGCAAAACATAAATGGACATAAAAGTTAGCAAAAGGATGTGCAATAATTCAACAGCTCCTGTACTGTGGCTTAAAATCCTCAAAACTTTTGAGTTAACTCAGGGTACAGCAATAATTCAAACAACATTACAGGCAGTGCTACTGTGTAGTCAATAAGATCCCAAGTGGTAATATAGTAATAGAGTCAGTAGGATCTCCTGCATTTCCTACAGATTTGGAGCCTTATTTCCATAACACTAAGTCTAAAAAGTGACAGCTTTTCAGCACATATAAGCTGCCATGGCATCATTCAAGACAAAAGATGCCTTTTGGATAACAGCTTACTTCAAATGAATCTGTCCCATTGCTTGAGTAGGGGGAAAAGCATTAATGAATAAAGACACTATTAACAGCATAAATGAAGAACCAAGAAGATATATATATGTGTATATGTATATATATGTATGTATATTTAATTACTTAATTTGTGTTTCTTTAATGTGATTATCTATTACAAATACCTGGAAAAAAAGGAGTCTGGAATCCACATCAGTGTTTGTCTCGAAGTGCTGAACCTAGGAAACCAAAGTTACAAGTTTACAATCAGCTGTAAAATTGGAAAGAAGTCTGCTTTATCAAAATTCTTTGATTTGTCCTACAAAGCTGATATCAAACACATTTGGAAGGTTTGAGATCATTTAAACATCTGCAAAAAGTCAAAGAAGTTGTAGATTCTTTGCACAGATTGTCCTTAAACATGAAGCTCAACTGTCCAGAGACCCCCTAAAGTGTTATTATTTCTATGTTTGTAATACACTGTCCCCAAAATCCTACATTTTCCGGTTCTCCTACTCTGGATTTTTTTTATCAAGCATTAAACTTGACAAACAAACAACCCTCCCATTCCCCCACAAAAGCAACCACACAAAAGGCAGCCACTGAAATAGAAGTTAACGGACAGCGTGCTATGTTTGTAACTAACTGCATGGTACTCTTACTTAGGACTTAAGGGGTGCTACATTGTGCATGGCAAAAGACCACAATGAGTTTAAAGTTAGTATTTTACAGTAACTTCAGTTGTTTGCCATTTGCTATTTAGGCCCTCCAAGGGCATTTACTCTGAATCATATTATGAAATAATGCAGATTACAGTATTACTTACAATGCCAGACAGTGTTTTACATAATAACTACCTATAAACTCTTCTATACTTCTGGTTTTGGTTTAACATGAGGGAACATGAACGACTGGACTGGCAGCTTGGACAAGCAGTTCATACTCCACATGAGCTCTCTGAATGTATATATCCTCTTATTAGCACCATGACTACAAAACCTTTGGTATCCTCTTCATTAATGGGAATCAAAAAAGGAAATGCAAAAGTAGAATTCCACAGCAACTTTCCATACAGTACAGGAATATATTACAAAGTATTTTTTGTTTCCACTGCTAAACAAAAAGCATTAATTTATATACCCTACAGGAAACACAAAGGCTGTATGGAACTACCATTCTGCATAAATGTGGATTGTGTGGCTGCTTAACAGAAAATCTCCAGCACCAGCATTCTAAGCACAAACAAGTACAAAGTCTTTCCTAAAAACACTAAAAATAGAATCAAAGCAGTTTGCTATTTAAATGGAAAGTGACTTCTAAGTATATCTGCATTTTTGCACAGCTTTTATCAGCAGTCATACAGACCACTACCCTTCTCTAAGATTAAGGGATGATTAACTATACTATAGTATGTGCATAATAGAAAACAATGAGTTACACCTATTTTAGCCAACATTAATCCAGACACTGCGTGTAACTATGGGAAGGGATGCAGCATCCCCAGTCAGTCCTTCTAAAAGTCTTCACAAGCTGATTATTTTTACTGGCTGATACTTTTACAACTTTCAGTTGTAAACAACACTGAATGATAAACGTTAAATTGATTCTGAAGCAATAAAGTCTCACAAGACCATGAAGACATTCAGGATCTCCGAACAAATGTTCGAGGACTCCATGGTACACCTCAGTAGACTACAGCACAGTTTCCGACCTACATGCATGTTTTGCATTTAGGCACATGAGTGACAGTTAGCTATTCAGAGATGTCAAGTTTTGCTGGTATTCTGACCAGTTGGGTTCCACTCTAGCATCTCCTAAGTCAATTAAAGTAGCAAAACATTTGGGACTAGATGTCCCAGAAGAACAAGCCACACAATAAGGAGGACAGGAAAAAGAGCCATCACTGATTCATCTCCTTGCCATTTGATCAGTGGGTTTAGATAGAACGAGGATTTTGTGTCTGTGATTTAGCACTATGGAACCAGTTTAGTTAATACCTCATACTAACCTATACTTTAGAACTTTTAATGTATACACATTAATGTATGTAAACAAGAAGACAGAGCCCTCCTTTCCAGCGTGCAGAAAGAAGCTTAGCTCTTGTTTTCACGTATAAGTGCATCCACAGCTCCATGCAGCTAACATGCAGTGGTCGGACAAATCCACTGCCATATTCTCAAATACCCTTAAGCAGGTGGCCTCCACTTATTTTAAAGTAAATATAGGTAACTGGAAACAGGCACAAACAGACCTGGTTACAGAACAACCATTTTCATAGTCTGTTGGGCTTTTAGAGTTATCTTATAACCAGGGGGAGATAAAAGGTCAAGAGAATTTACTAGATTAGTTACAGTAGTTTCTGGGAATGTTAACTTGCAAGAGGTTTGTGCTCCCAGAAAAGGAATCCATTGAGCTGAGACCAGGAACCGCTGGAGCAACAGCATGCAACAGAAAAGCTCTGGCAGTCCCAGGGAGCAGTGGGAGCCTCATGTCAGAACATGCAAAACTAGTGTCTCTGTACTAGACGTTCCATAGTATAACTGCTGTCAGAGACAGAGGAGAGTGCAGATTTCCTCTTCTCATACAACTATACAAACAAAACTAAGTTTCAGGTTTCTAGTATGGGTAACAAGAACTAATGAAAAGGAGGAAACATGTATAGTATCCCACACTCCCCCATCTGCTGTCCAGATCATCTGCTTCACTGACAGCTTGGAGACACCTGCCTTTGCAAGCTGGCCCAGATATATTTTTAAGAGAATCTGGGCACTACAAGGGAAGTTGACGTGCAACAGAATAAAACCTCTTACACAGCAGTACTACTGCATGTTGTCTCCCTAGCAAAAGGGAAATGTCAATGCACGGTTTTCCTATTCCTTACATCCAAATGATGCCTGTTGCCTTGAATGTAGACCTTCAACTAGAAATAAAATACATACAATTGCTAGCTTGCCTTATTCTTCATACTTTTGTGTAGACAAGCCCTCTGAGGAGGTGTATTTCTTCCCCGATTCATGCCCTGTATATAATTCTCTGTTCTCTCCAGAGGCACTTCATAAACAGGTCTTACTTACGAGACTGAAGCATCTTTTTGATTCCACTTGTAATAAAAACCTAAAAGGTGAACTGGCCTATAATTTTAGAGACAAGAGTTCACTGATGAACCTTATTCAGTGTAACACAAAATCTGATCTGAGCCAACATCAAAGGTATCCTGAAAGCATCACTGTAGGTGAGTTTTGCCTGTGTAAGTTACGAGCAGTTCATCTGGGCTGAACCAGGTTCTTCATGTCTTATTATAACAAAGGAATTCTGCATCAATTTTATGGCACCATCCCTTAGGGAAGGCTGCAACATCCCATTTAGTTATAAGATCTTCTTCTGGGTAACGCAGTAAAATTCTTCAAACAGCAGTAGTAGCTTCTAATACTAACAGCTGGTCCCATGTTGTGCGCAGACTCAGGAAGACACATTACTTCAGCTCCCACCAGCTACAGGGATGTGAATGATTTCATGCCCGAGCATTCTGACCGAAACATCTGCACTATCACACAGATTCTGACCCACAGTTCTCTATCTCAGCCTGCCAAACTGTCTACACATGCCATCTTCTACCCTTCCAGCGTACAGACAATTACAAATCTTTATTCTGATCGATAGCAGCGATATTCTATCCACCTTTTTAATACCTTGGTATCCGAGGCTGCGACACAGACCGATGCCTAGAAGCCTACGGCAAAGCAAAGCTCTCTGCGCTCTACTCCCGAAGCAGCAGCATCCCGAAGATGCGTTCCTGCAGCACGCACCTAGAAGCCCCAGACCCTGCACACAGACCCCACGCAGGGCTGCCAACGCCTCCCGTATCTGCCTCCGAGTCCAACTGTCCCAGCTCCCCTGCAACAGCTTTATGCAGGCCCTTCCAGAGCCGGCATGGGAAGGATCGCAGGAGAGGCAGCACCGCCGCCCTCCCGGCACAGAGCGGC